CAGAGAGGACTTTCCAGAGTAGTGGAACAAGTTTAATATTTTTAAGTGAAAGTAACCAAAATATTACAAATAAAAATTATTATTTTTGAAAGGGACAAATCTCTTTTAATAAAGATATGTGAAGTATAAAAAAAGGTATCTCTTAATATCTTTGTTAGTTTCTACATCCACTCCATACATAACATTGTATTACCACCCCCACCTTATAAGTAAGAAAAATGAGGTTCAATGAATAGCCTAAGACCACACAGACAGCAAAAGGAAATACTATCAACTACCAAACTCAGGTGTGCATAATTCCAGTTAATGTTCTTTTCCAAGCCTAAAACCTAATGTCTTTCAGCTGATCCTGACTCAAATCAATCCTATAGCGTAAAGTCAAACTGCCCCACTGGGTTCCCAAGGCTGTAATCTTCACAGACAAGAGCTCTGGTGGCCTGGTGTGTAAAGAGTTGTACTGCCAACCCAAAGGTAGGCGATTTGAATCTACCAGCTGCTCCACAAAAGATGTATGACCAATCTCCTTGCATGCAATTTATAGCCCTGAGAACCTACTGGAAGGTCAGCTATGAGTCAGTCCTGACTCAATGACACATAAAACAACAATCTTTACTGAAACATCTTTCTCTCCTGATGACTGGCTGGTAGGTTCAAACTACCAACCTTCTGGTTCAAGTCCAAGTACTTTAATTACTTAACCACCAGAGTTCCTAGTCCTTTATACCAATGAAAGGGCTGTGCATCAGGATCACCAAGGAGATTTTAAACAAAGAATCTCTGCTCCACACCCAGAAATCCTGATTCTTTAAGGGGCTGAGGCCTGTGGTTTGGGGAGGAGGCTATTATTTGTTCACCAATACGGTTTTGGCATTTAGTCAGCCCTTCTACAATCTTGACTTTGGCACTTAAGATTACCTTTATACTACCTATTTCCACTGAGTTCATTCCAACTCATAGCAACCCTAAAGGACAGAGTAGAAGTCTACAGTTTTCCCAGGGCTACAAATGTTTCTAGGAGATTGCTTTAGATGTGTTGGTGGGTTCGAATGACCATTCTTTCAGTTAGAAGTCTTAACAATGAAGCAGGTTAATTCAAGTAGTGTTACTAGGGCTCCCTCTCTAGAAATAAGCACCTTTAGAAAATACACAAAACAAACACTATTAATACTCCACTATTTTCCTAGATCTCACAATTTTCACTGGTATTTGAACTCTAAAAAACTGTAGGTAAAATTTTCAGAAACCCAAGGAGGCAAGCAAATAAAGCTAAAGTTACAGATGGAAAAGAAACCTTATTCTCCTATTAGAATAATGCAATACCATGCTATGGTACAAAGATCTGATTGGATGTACTTGACTACACTCAGTCATCACAAGGTAGAAGGCTGCTGATACTCCTAGTTTCAATCTGTTTAACTCTCGAATGCATAGCAAGGAATTGAAAAGACCATATCTTGGATCAGGCAAACCTCAGTCTTTAAACAGACATCCTTGCTCTCCAGCACTCTGAAGACTATGCACTAGTTGGACAATGACTAAGGATGACAGAAGAAGAATTAATGCCTTTGAGTTTTGGTGAAGAAGAGTCTTGAATATACCATGGACTGCCAAGAAAACAAATAGGTCTATCTTGGAGAGGGTGAAACCAAGTTTCTCCTTGGGGGCTAGGATTTTGAAACTCCATCTCACATACTTTGGGCTCATGGCCAGGAGGGACCAGTCCTTGGAGAAGGGCATCATGCTTGGAAGGGTGGTGAGACAACGCAGGAGAGAGACCCCTGATGAGATGGATCGATACAATAATTTGGGCAATGGGGGGTAGGTGTGTCAAGAGTCAGTAAGACTGGCTCAGGATAGAGCAGGCTTCAGAGCTGATGTACATAGGGTTGCTATGAGTTGCAGGTGTCTTGACATAAATAACAACAACAACAACAACAATAACAGGGCTACTTATGATGATTAAATGAAATATTGTATAGAAAGAATTTATAACCATGTCTTAGCATATAGTAA